AGAACCCAGAATTGCATCGGGTGACAAAATGTTAGCGCCGGCCCTGCTTTCCCCCTCCCACAGCCACTCAATAGCCGAAAGAATGATCGCGGCCAACATCAATACAACGCTAATCAAAGCATTGTTACTGACTTCTCAAAACAAGCAGGTGTTTGAAAGCGACATGCAGGAATTTCACTTAGTCCGGAGAAAAATCGCATTTGCTAAACACCTGCTTTCTTTTGTTTACTATAATCCTCACTCTTTTGTAACGGAAGAATTTTTTTTATTATTATTATTCATTTATATTTTGGTCCGGAAATTGGATATCCGAATTTCGGACTTTACTAAAAATTCTACTGTTGTGGATATCTTAAAAGGATCACACTTCATTAAACAATGTTTGCTTTTAACCCATAATTATGCATATGCCAATTAACAATTATAAAAATCTATGATATTCATATATCTCAAATACATAAGAGCTTAGTTTTAGAATTCTCAAATAAACTGGGAAACTGTAGCTTAAAAAACTGCTAAACTTATTTTTACTTTTTCAAAGATATTTAGCATACAATCCTGAAAAAAGAGCAAAGGAGAAAAAAAAAAAAAAAAAAAAAAATCAGACAATAGCTGCATTTATATGCTTTTATTTTAAAATACAAATCACATTTTCATCATGTGAAAAGCATCAGATAACTGAAGTTAAACACACAACACAGCATTTTTCTGGTAGGCAAATATACATGCTATGAACAGGAAGAAATCACAGTATCTATGAGAATGAGAATTTTTACTCATAACTAACATAATAGATCATTAAAAAATTCTAAATTTATTTACAAAACATGCAAAAACATTATTCTTCACACTTATGAAAAAATAATTATATTTTATTACAAGGTCTATATTAATGTAACAGAAAAAAAAACTACATTAAGCTTACAAAAAATTCTGAACACTTCATAAAATAATTAAATAATTTTTTAGTTTTCTAAAGCAAGTTTTTAAAACAAATATTAAATCTTGAATAATGATGCCATAATTTTAGTACGTACTCTGCTTGCTTTACATAAAAAACATCCTTTAAATATTCAAAAAGTCTACAAAAGCATCAAAATATAAAGCATATATATTTATTACAATGAATCAATTATATAAAAAAAAACAGCAATAAAGTTCACATGGTGAAAAATTACAAACATATATGTCTTGCCTTGTATGTTTACATATCAGAGAACAAAAAGTCTACAAAATTATGCACAAAGATTAAAAATTTCATTTTTGAAATACCGACATAACAGATAAAACATAATAGCTGCTTTTCATATGTCGATGTGAGAAGTAATAAATTAACACTTAAGTGGAAAAAAAATTTAATGAGAAATACTTAAAATCATAAATTTACAATTCATTTAAATTACTTAATTTAATGAATAAAATTAATTTTCCCTTTCTTTTCCCATATACAACAATATTTAAATTTGTGTAAATTTCATAACTGTCCACCCATGGCCAAAGTTAACACAAAACATTTTCTTAAAAGATTTTTTTAAACTTATGATAAAACTTGTTTAATTCTTTAAACAGCATTTTAATATAATTCTTATAAACATTCCCCCAAGAGCTCCTACAGTAACATATCTAATCTATGAACAATACCTCATGTTTATTTGATTTACTTTATATTTCAGATAATACTGAAAATTAGAATTAAAAATAGCATTTTTTATATACCTGTTGCATCTAAATATCTATTTATACATAAATATCATACAATCTAAATCAAGCCGAAATTCATTATCTTAAGCCTTATCAAATACCAAGAAACAAGAAAATATCTGGATTTCAAAATTCTGTACAATTACAGTTTTAAGTTACTTTAACCTTTCTGCCACCTTCATATGGAGAGGGGTATTTTATAAACATTAAAGATTGTTTTATTGTTATGCCTCTAGAGGTCTCATCTAGTGGCTTGTCCGTGTATGTTTTACTGATTGCTCACCTTGAGACCTGATGGTGGAAACCTACTAGAAACTTCTATGTTGCAAAAAAGTTCTTCGAATACCTGTACACAATATTTTGTAGATTATTTTCTTTCCCCCCCTCTTCCTCTTTTTTGGTATGTCTAAAACAAATTCAGGGCTCAAAGGATTAATTTAGAAGATAAACATGTATGGCCTACCTCAAGTCAGGAAATATTTCTGTATATCATATTTTATAAACTATTTAATATAAATTTTTATATTAAATAGTTTTAATATAAAAATGTAATATAAATTTTTATAAATAAATACAGACAGTAAAACAAAACAATTTTAACAGAAATTCAAGAGTAATAAATAAATAATCTATTTCGAATGAAATATTTTTCGTCGAATGAAAATGCAGACAAAAATTTTGTTCCTTATTCTCAGCATTAAATTTTCTTCTCATAATAATACAAATGCTTTAAAATTACTAGACTATATTATAGTATTTACTATTTATATATTATAGTAGTTACTAGTATTATAAAAAAATTAATTGGCCCTTTGACCTACATCCCCACTCAAATTTTTAGAAAACTGCATAGGAAACACACCTAAAAAATTCCATCCATACCCGGTGTATTGCTCTGAAAACGATCAAGTAATTATCTGATAAGAAATTGTTTTAAATGTGACATTGTAAATATTAATATATACTGAATTTATGCAAAAATAATTACATTTAAAACTATTAAAGTTTCATAAAGCATATTTATAAATTATCTCATTACAAATATATTTAACACTATTTCTTACATTTCATAAAAAATATTTTGACAGTCAAAATGTAAAGCCTCTTTAAGTCAAAATGCAAGCTCTAATGTAAAGTTTCCTTAGATTTAACATATGCAGCAACAAATATATTAAACGTAAGCTGATACAATAAAAAAATACTTCCTCTCATTATGTATGTGAAATTTCCTTCAAAAAATTCTTATGCTAAAAAAAAGAACAAAAGTATGAAAGAAATTTGGCATTTGCACAGCCATTAAAAACATACAGTGCAAAAAAAACTATGTACAATTAGAAAAAAAAAAAAAAAAAAAAAAAAAAAAAAAACATTTTTGCTGTACATATATTACATTACAAATAAACTGCATTTTAACAGAAATGACACTGACTTATAAGCTAATTATAAGTAAACTATACAGGTAATAAAAAATATTCCACAAGATCCGAAGTAACTAATGACACATTTTTCTAATATTATTCAGAAAAGTAATAGTAATTGGTAAATATATATTAAGCTGCTTCACAAAGCATCTCTGACATTAAATAACACAGATTCAGGGATTCAAACCCTTCTAAGAGACTAAAAGTAATAGAAAAGTTCGTGCAGTATTATTAATAAACAAGTTAATGCAAGTCTAAATATCAGGTATACCAATATTCAGTCAGTCATTTTTATTAGAAAAATACAGTTTTAATGAATAATTTTTTTTTTTTTTTTTGTTTGGGCTGAAAACTACTTCTTAGATGGGTTAACGCAATTTAATGCATTTGAAAATTAATTTTTTATTAGAATAATTCAATATTTAGAAAATAAAAGCTGATAAAACTGAAATTTTTTCTGTAACTGAGCTGCTAATTTAAGTATTTACGGTAAATACACAGCTAACAGACAGTTTTTTTTTAATACAATATTTCTTCTCTGCAATTTTTCTAATTTTCTGTTATTACTAGATTTGCAACAAATACAAGTTCAATAAATCAATCTTTGCTTTATATATATTTTCACCTGAAAAACATGTAAATATGATACATAAGATTTCACTTAAGCTTGGAATAATATAGCAGTAAAAAGAATTTTTTCTAATTCAAGATACAGTTACTATTTATTAAAATAAAAATGCTGAGAAATCATGTTTTACGCTTCAAAATAAAATCAATTTCAAATGAAAATCTAGGCCATGGGGAGAGAAAAATTACAAGAAGCAAATATACATCCAATACTTATCGTGAATTAAGTCAGTCTTTATTTAGTAAGGACAGTTTAGTTCAGCTTGCTAGAATTTAGTTTCTTTTTTAAAACCACATTGAACCTGACAAAAATCGGAGATCTTACAATACTATATCATTACCATAATAATTTAACACACCAACTACTAAGTTACAAGCACAAGACAAACATTACTTTCTTTTGCATAAAAATATATATTGACATCATATCTCAAAATCCAAAATATTTGATTATAGTATGTGATGCAGTATATAAATATCAATCATACTAGCTCCATCTTCATATATCATGCAACCAACATTAAATGTGCACTTAGTTAAGATACATTTATTCTCAGTGGCAATTCAATGGCTGTCAGTTTTTCTCAAAGATTTAAAAAAAAAAAAAAAATAATAATAATAATAATAATAAAATCTGAAATGTTTCAGATTTTAAATTACGTCTAAAGGGCGTTTTTTAACATTTTGTGTGTTACCTTTCTTTATTAAATATCGTGTTCCTCGCACTTAAACCATAAGATCCAGTGCAACAGCAATATCGCAAAATAGTTTTAAAACGAGCATATCTTTAGAATTTCCGATACAGAGACTCACGCGCTGGAGATAAAAATGTTTTTTCTGCACAACATTGCCATTGCTCGCTTTGAAATCCTTGAGTTTGTTAATCAAAAATTCGTCAAAGTTTTAAAAAATAGGAAAGCGATCATAAAACAAATTTCAAATTTGGTCTTCCACATGCTCATATTTGTTGGAGGATTACGTTATTCAAAATTCGATGACTCTATGTACCGTTATTTATGACAATGTGAGAAATATACATATATTTACGCAGATTTTCATTATTTAATTTCTTCATATATAATGCAGGACTCTAACATTTTATGGCAACAGTTTGAAAAGTGAACCGACATTTATCCGTCCGACGCAAAATGCCAAAACGAAACTAATAGTCCTTCGGGATTCACATCCCTTTGGACTAAAAAAAAAAAAAAAAAAAAAAAAAAAGAGGCAAAATATGCATTTATTCTTCATAATTTTTATACTTTTTTATTATTTTTTAACTAATTATATGAAGGGAAATTCAAAGACATTTCATATCCATAGTACATTAATTTTACGCTACAAAATCCTTACTAAAATAAGGATTTCATTACACAAATTGATAAAAGGTAAAACATACAAGCTAAAACATATAGTACATGTTAAAAGGTGATCACTTATACAGAAGCAAAATTACTTAGAAGGCTTAAGCATAAATTATCCAAATATCCCAAGTGTCAAGGTACTTTTAACTTTTTCAACCAGTCATGGCAGTAAGCTAATAACTTACAATTCATGACATTTTTAAACACAAAAAATTATTCGATTTTTTAAACCCGTATAATTAAGGCATAGTCTATTCTGGCCTATTTCACCATATTTTGTAAATTTAAATGTAACTTTTTATTCATTTTATAATACTTTTAGATGTATAAAGCATACATTCCCACATTAACAAACAAGTAATACATATGCACGCACACACACACACATAAATACATGAATAATACAAATGAAAATTAGTAGATGCCTTGACTTTCAATTACTTAAAATTAAGATCCAATGACAGTCTAATATTTTTGCATAGAATGCGTGCACAGGTGAAATGCTATTCTTTTAATACTTTCATTTTGTTTTCTTTTAATACTTGTAATAATCCCCAAGGGCATTTCTGAATTATTTATACATTACAGTTTTTTTTTAATTTATCATTTGCTCATTTTAATTTATGATATAAATCCCAATTCATTAAAGTTTATGATTCACACGTCTCTAGAATGGTAAGGCTTACTAGTGAAAAGCATTTTTTTATTTGTTTATTTATTTTACTTTCTGTGCATATTATTGCACATACGTTTTATACTTTTTTCCTTCTTTACTTTTGGTGTACGTATTTAGTTAGAATGTGTGTGTGCGTGTGTCTAAAGTTACAGTTAAAGTAGGGGTGAATGAAGAAATTATAGAAAATGATACATACTATACAAGTATGTATCATTACATTATTATACTATATTACTATATCATTATGTACTACAGGATAAAACATATATTTAAAGTAGATTAAAATGCTAATAATGGACTCCAAACTACAAAAGATTTTTGTGTTGCTAGAAACACATAATGAAACAGTGCATGATAAGAAATGATATTATCACTGGAATCTTTCAGCTATCCCCCCTCCCATTTTTGCTTTATTCAGTTCAACAGATCTCATATTTTGTTTCACATTCTAACAGTTATTTGAAAACCCACCAACATGTGCATGTTTTCAGAACATAAAACTCTTATAATTTGAAATTCATTATTAGCATTTTTTTTACACTCATTCTGGTCAATTAAATTTTATACAGGGATACTTTGTCTAAATAAATTTGCAAGCTAAATAAGGATTTTGCATTTCAATGACATCAGTTATTAACAGGGTTCCAATCTGTGATCTGATCATATAACAAAAGGGTCAAATATAGCCTTCTCCTATGAAGCATCATGTCCATCTCCTATATTCATAATTTATGCTATGCCTGCTTTTCAAAGTAAAACACATATTTCTATGAACAAAAATATATTGCTTTGAATGTTATATATTTTTTAGATAAGCATACAAGTGCATTTTCTAAACATGAAAACAATGTTTTTCTATATTGCTTAGTGGAAAAAAGATTTTCCTACAAACTTATTAAAGATTTTAATGAGCTGAAAAATAATTATATCTTTAATTAACATTTTCAATGAGATATGTTCCCCATTTTAAAAATCTTTGGATGCTTAACTACTATAAAAAAGATTCAAAGTAGCATCTTCAGACAATGACAAATGATTTTTAAATGATGACATCCAGGATCGTGGAATGTTAATTTAATGCAGGGCACATAATTTTCACTTGAAACATAACCATTAAGCCAATGCATTTGCATTAAAACTATTTAAACATTTTAAAAGGTCTTTTGAGTATTAAAATAATAATTTTAATATTGCTTGATATCAGTAAAATAAACTCTGAAATAGTAATTCATGCAAAAAATTACAATATACATTACTTTTTAATATGATACATATATAACACTGGAAAATATATTTAATATTGCTTGATACATTTATTTTCAAAATCAATGTCACTGCAAAAGCTAATATTACTGTTTCATTACTGTAACCAATATATATCTGTTTTTCAGTAAACCAAAACTAAAACTCTTGTAACATTACTAGAGTATAAGCATTCTCATCTAATAATGATCTGTAGTTAAGAAACATATGCAGTATTTAAAATTTATTTCCCCCTCCAAACACAATTTTTTAAACTTGAAATATATATCTAAAAATGGAAGCTAATACTGGTCAAATCAAATCTTTTTCATACCTTGCTTGTAACTGCTCACAAACTAATAGTCTTCTTTATTTTAGATAGTTTAAATTATCAGCAATGAATACAAAAAATATAAATGATAAGACTTGTTTGCTTTCAAGCACAAAACTTTGCCAGTCTCTCTCTCTCTCTCTCTTTTTCTCAATACCATGTAAACTAAGTTTATTCTTAATTAATTTGCACATTTTTCTCATTCATTTATATAACAAGAAAAGGTAACTGAATTATATAAGCTAAAAAGACTAGCTGCTAAGAAAGAATGTTTAAAATCATGCATTTATTAACAACAATGCAAATGAAAAACAGGATATTATAAAGATTATTATTTATTATTTCAAGTTTTAAAAAAAGTCTTAATCTGGCTGTCACTTTTGCTTTAGGTATATAAAATATTTTTTATTACTTTTTTAACTGATAATTTCATTATAATTTTAAGCAAAAAAATACAGTATTTTTAATTTTAATAATAATAATATACATTTTGTTTCACAAATAAAAATATGACCATTTGTTTAGTTTCAGGGACCTTAGATTTTTATCTTACTTGAAATAGAAATAGATTTTTTTCAGACAAAAGCAATTCTATTAAACTTCATTGATACAAAATATGCTTTGTATTTTGTTTCACTGAAATAAAAACAAAATATACTTTTTTCTTTCTTAAATAAACATATTTTGTTCATTCCAACTGTAGAAACTTTAAATAAAATATAGTAAATGTGAAAGATATTTTAAATGAAAAATAAAACAGGATTAAAATAAAATCTAGTACACAAAAAATTAAAATTTCTCCACTGGTATTAGAATAATTATGCACTAAGCCAAGAGAAAAAGAAAAACTGGGTTATATGCATTCTTCAAATATCTGGCTGGGCTACAGTTCCAAAAACAGCCTCATAATTATGCTATTGTTTTTGAAAGTGAAAAATAAATTTTATGTAATAATGATCTATAATATAAAATTAAAAAATTAACTAAAAATGCTGTTAAAAATTAGCACCATTACATTCAATAATCAGTTTTTTTCACAACCTAAACCTTCATTATCATATTCTTTAACCTAAAATAATTTATCAATCACAAGGGGGGGAGAGTTTGTATTTTACCTAACGTGCTGCAGTCTTTAAAATAATTTGAGTTTTAGGAAACATTTTAAAATTTCTATTTCAAAAACACATTAATTTTTCATTTAATGTATATATTGTTTTGAATACTATAAATCTAGAAAATAAAAAAAAAAAAAAAAAAAAAAAAAAGCCTTTAAACTGACCAGCTGACTAGACTACATAAAAAGAATAGGAATTTCCATCACATTTCTTAAAAGCATATAGGCAGTACAGCACATGCATCAAACTGATTATCTCTTTCACCATAATGCGTAAATTCATAGCCCAAATGGTAATGGCACATTAAAAAATGAATCGACAGAAAAAGGTGCGAGATTTAAGATAATCCAAGATGAAAAGTTGACATAAAAAAGGATATACAAAAGTTACAGAAAATAATTATGTGCCCTACATAATTTCTCTTCAAGTATTCTAAAAGTTTTTTGTGTATTAATCAAAATAAAACATGGCTGATGCACGAAAAATGTTCAATTTTGTCCAAATTTTTTTCATATTGGTCCTTCAATGTTGCTCACTTTCATAGTAAAGTAATACACAGCTTTACAAAGTAGCCATATAAAGAGAACAAAAGCACCTATAAAAATAAATTATTGAAAAATTAATGAAAAATAAAGCTGTATATCACAAAAGAAAAAAACAAGAAAGCAATTTATTTAAAACTAATGAAATCTTATTTAATTCCAATAATCCATGAGTGTTTAATCTATGAATGCCTGTTACCTAGGTTCAACTTAGTATATAAAACTAAATTCTAATTTTCATAAAATTCAGCATGCCATATGTAAAGAGATGTATATCTAGAACTTGAAGTTGCCTAATTTTCAGAATGTGCCAAACTCTGCAAGCATGTATATAACTATTATTCTGGCAACCATACTCATCTTCCTTCAGTCAAGCAACCTCATATTTTCATAAGAATTCTGTTTGTTGTTTTCCAAAGGTTTTTATATACAAATCATGGTATCTTTTGCTTTAAACTTAATTTTAAAATATATGCTTATGGAATTTGGAAGCAACTGAAGAAACTGAGGCAAAATTTCTGTAGAAGTACGGAATTTTTCGGAAATCTCTACAAACAATAAAGAGGAGATTCATTTGGCAGATAGCTGGTGTTACTGAGGTTTGTGTGATACTGAGTCTGCAGTTCACGTTTATTTAAGAGTAAATATATCACTATGTATGTGGAGAGGAAAAAGTAAAAAAAATACAGGAAGATTTAATGAAGAAACAAGTACTTTTTCAATGTATAAAGTAATCCTTATCTATACTATTAAAATCCTCGCACGTCTGTTTGTTTCTTTGTGGCATTATCTCCTCTGAAGTGAGTGCAGTTGAGTTTCGATAGAGGTACCCCTGGATTCCAAAAATTCGTGGGAAACCATTTCAACCACTCTCATCTTTGTACAACTTTAATCAGTTGAGATATTAATCAAAAACTCATGAAAATGCTTAATTTTTCAACCTCATTTTTCCAAGCAACAACAGTCTTGCTGGAGATAAAAAATCTGCTTGATTACAAAAAGTTTTGCCACTGCTTGCTTTCGAATCGTAGAGTTCGTTAATAAAAAATTTGTATGCTTTACAAAACGTGAAATAAAAATAGCATTGCCAAACTTTAAATATATTATTATACAAAGTCATATTCTGACATTGAAGAAAGCACGCGACTGCATGTGATGTCACTGTATGTCAAAAAATTTTTCTTTAATGTCAGCATTTTAAATAAACAGCTGCTGTTGGCAACTTTTCTGTTTCAGGTTAGGATAACTGACATGGTACTTCATTTCCACATTGATATGGAGAAAAAGTGATATAATACATTAAATTTAAATCATGATGTCATAATCTATAAGTATTAACATGATGTGTCAAAAGTTTTTGTTTCCTGGTTTGGCAACAAAAAAAATATTTAGGAATTGGTTGTTGCTTGTAAAGAATGAACTGATTTCATTCATATTGGAATGTTTTCATGCACTTTCTTTTCAGGTGTACACAGAGCTTATAAGTTTTGGTTTCACTGCAGCCCACTAGTTTAATAATTAAAATTTGCATTTTAAATCGATAAAGTATGTTGTCTTTTGATATGGTGGGTTGGTCTGTGCCCGGTGAGCCGGTCGGCAGTGTCACAAATTCCAGTTTGACTAACAAAAAGATCATGCTTTGTATCTGGTGGGATTGCTGTGGTATTATCCAAAAAGAGTATCTGGAAAAAGGCAACACTCTTGACAGTGCAATGTTACTCCACGTTGACGCTGCTATCAAGGAAACATGTCGAATTGAATTCAGCATAAAAATGTAATGTTCCATTAAGATAAAGCAGGACCACATGTCTCTGCATTCACTGGCTGGACTCTGTACGGACTTGAATGGGATCTTTTGCTACCATATAACTCCGACATCGCTTCTTCGGACTTCTACCTTTTTTCACACCTGCAACTACATTCTTGCTGGAGCTATCTTCCACTATGCACAGGATGTCTGAAATGAGGTTGATCTGTTTTTGGACCTGTGATCACCAAATTTTTGGGCCAAAGGCTTTGAAAAACTACCAAAATATTGGCAGAAAATCATAGATTTGGGTTGTGATTGCTACCCACACTAAAGGTACTGCTTTTATGTTTTTTTTTAAATAAAATTTTTTAAACTTTATTAAGAATGTATTTTTTTACTCTGTTTTTCCAATGTACATATCAATCTTATTTTTCACTCAAAAATCACTAGAGGATTGTAGAAACTTGGCTACACCAAGTTTATACATATAACACCAGCACACCAGCTATATATTAAACACACTTCATCATTATATGCACACCAGCTATATATTAAACACACCTCATCATTATTCTTTCTACAGATTTAGCAGCAAAATACTACATTTCTGCAGTCTTCCATTGATAGAAAAAGTCCACAAGCACATACTTTAAAACTGAGTTTAAGGCAAAAAATATGATGGTTTGTCTATAAAAGCCTTTATAATTTGGAATACAGGAAAAAGAACGCATACAGAAATAGCGACATTGCTGGACTGAAGGAACGTTTTGAGCATGGTTGCCAAAGTTAGGCACATTTTAAAAATTTGCTGACTGCTACTAAGGCAGTTGTGGTAATACTTACTATTAACCCTTTAAAAGCACGAGTTTTTTTTCTGGTTGCGCTAATACTTAAATAGTATTAACCCCTTAAAAGCATGCGTTTTTTCCCAGAAAAACTGGTAAAAAATTATCGATTTTTTTGGGTGGTTTTCAGTGTGCAATATTTGGTTGAGTTGTCCTAATTTGATACCAGTTTCTTGCTACAGCCAAAATCTCATCATCATTATCTTCAAATTCACTTACATCACTCAAGAAATCATCACATTCTGATAAATTTGCATATTCAAAAACATCAGAGTCACTCACTATCAGATAATTTTTTCTAAAGTTACAAAAACACTTAGTAAAAATAAATTCATGGTCAACTGTTTACTTTTATATTTTCCACACCAAACAACTGCTTTTTAACAGAGAATTCCTAACAAACTTATAGCTAATCATTAAAATGCACCAGGTGGTTTACACAAGAAAAATGCTGCATAGTGGTTTCATCTATGGCAGATAAGTTTAATTATAATATATTTTTAAAAGAACAGAATCTCAGACGGGCATTAGAAATAAAATAACGTAAGATACAAAACTGCCCACGAGAGACGAGGGCATGCGCAAATTTGCCAGTAACTTTTGCCCATGTCAAACACAGGCAAATGTGTTAAGGGGTTAAAAATACACACAAAAGTAAACATACAACAAATTCGTTTCACACAATTAGGTCACTGGTCAATACCTCTGCTGAAAAAACGCTATCATGCAATTTATTACCTTATGGACAATTTTACAATTAATACGTCAAATATTTCTCACGAGTCGGATTTAAAAGCATTCTGCATAATTATGAACTCATCTGAAAATAACATAAAAAATTATAATGAATGATATTAGAAGAGAACCGATCATATGAACAAATAAGATTTCATTCAGGCAATTCAGCAGAAGAGCCAATATGTTATTTTCAACAGATAGAATGTAAAAGACTCAATGGGCACATTCAACTGTATTGAGATACAGGTGATTGAACATAATGCTAGAAATCATATTATTTATCTAAAGGCAAAAAATAAGCAACTGTACAATATAGGTCATTTTTGAAAATTCAGCACAATTTAAAAATACACATGTAATATATTCAGTTTAACTCACCTATATAAACACAGTATATGCCTCCATTTTTTGCAGCATAAGCGAATGTTCCAAACTGCAAGACAAAATTATTTTTTAATCATCAAATCGATTGCCATAATGTACAATGCAAAATACATTTTTGGTTCAACTTTTATAAAACAAATAAGTTTAGAAATGCAAAAAATTAACTATCCATATATTTTGTTTGAAAGAATAGCAACTGGCAGCATACATTAGGAATGGCAATATTTTGGAGTAAAACCTTCTAAAAAATCTGATGCAGACACCACATGACTTCCTTGCACGGAATATTAAATTTTACACATTTTATGCTGCATTTCATTTACACTTATTTCCACCAAATTCATTAGAGGTACAGTCAATATATTCAGTTCTCACTTTACGGCAGGGCAAAAATACATAAAAACTTAAAATATCTTCATTAAAAATTGAAAAATATTTTCTATATTTTATAGAATAATTATAAATACAGTTAAAACAAAACAATTTATACAATTAAAATTAGAGTTTCTATGCAAAAACAAACCTACAAACCAATTTAACAAGCGAGCGAGGGAAATTAACCAAATGATTTTATTTCAGATGCTAACTTAGCAGGTTTTAAAGCAATAATAATTTAAAAAAAACAATTTTACTTACAGTAACTCCTAAGCCTAAAGCCAGCATGAATAAAGCAGCTATCAAATACATTGTTCCACGGCATCTTGAAAACTGCTGCCCAACTGAAGAACTGGGGGAAAAAAAAAAGTTTTTAATATAAACAAACAGTGTATACCTCTTGAAAAAAGAATTCTAAATATATTCACAAAATATCCATGGCACAGCCTGAAAGTACACAAGTAAATACAAAAGCAAATTTATTAATAAAATAGAAAAAGACACTTACAAAGAAATGTACTTGCAAAATGAAAATGACACTGATAATACATGTAAGCAGTATTAGTTTGATGAAAGCAGCAACAAATATGTCCAAGTCCTTATGGCTTTTCTTTTTGCAACCACAGGTCATAGATATTTAGTTCCATTTATAAAAATGTTCTAAATTATGCAAATATTTTTGCATATTCAAAAATTATACAATCTAACTAACTTTTTGTATGGTCTTCTAGTTTCTATTATTACTAAAAATTTATACTCATTTGAAAAAATTATATAAAAAAAAAATAACCGAGATATTTAATTTCAAAATGTGGTTTTTACTTCCTTGTACAAAGTAAACGATGTATTGTAATTGCAAAAAATTTCGGTATCACTTTCAATGGAAATGCCCATTTTGACCATTCCCAATTCCATTTGGATGATACTTTTTGTGTGACGTCTGTATGTACAGACAGATAAAAGAACTCTTTTTTTTTTTTTTTTTTTCTAAAATAAATTTAAAAGGAATTTTTCCACGATGTCTGTATGTATATATTGGGAATAACTCAAAAACGATTAGCCACAGAACATTGAAATTTTGTATGTGGTACTGTTACAACATCTAGTTGTGCACCTCCTCTTTCTATCACAGTCAGCAGCAGTTTTTTCCATAATTGCAATTGGCAGTACCAAAACAGGTAAATATACATACATATACCCAATTCCTTACCCAGCTTTTCCCCTTACTTGTCACATAATTTTGTTAAAAAATGATTGAATTTTTTCATTGATGTTTTTTAATGTTTATAAAATTCAGAATAGATTCATTTAAAAAACACCATATTTTCCCTTAAATTGAACAGTTTTTAAATATATAAAATTTCTTATTCACTTACATTATATTTGGCTTTCCTCGCACAGCTAAATGGCCACATCAATTTTTTAAAAATATTTTCTAACTGCCTTGTGGGATCAGTTAAAAAATTAGTTAGGATAATCTGACATTGGTTTTTCTGCTTAAATATCATTCACTTATATTTTTTGTCACTTATTAGTGGGTAACATTTCTTAATCAGTAGTTTTGTTACATCCGGTATTGGAAAAGAATTTTCACAGAAGTAATGTCTAACTTTTCAAATGCTAGAAATGCATTTCTGATACTCTCACAAAGTTTAATTACCTTAGAATCATAATCTAAGAATCACACAACAAGGTTCATTAAACTACAAATATTTTTCATTTCTAATTTATGCACCATGAAAGACCGAAATTGGAGAATGTCCACTTTCACCGGAGGATGTCAACATTCACCAAATACGTCGGTGAAAGATTGAATATTGCATTACATTCTTGTACATTGGGACCCTCACCGGTGTATGTCGACAATCGTAGATATGCTCTGGTGTAGGTCGAAAAGAAAGGTCATAAAGTGTCATAATAGTTTAAGTTGTTGCAACAAGTAAGATTTGAATCACATAATTTAGTAAGTTTTTTATTACTATTATTTTATTTTCTCATTTACAACGTACTGTATAATTAAGTAAGTTTTTAACTTCTATTATTTTCCTTTCTCATTTTTAATGTACTGAGTGTTTTAAGTTGTTATTTTAAGTCTCAAGTGCATTCTTTCGCGACTGCATTACGGACAATAAAATATAATATTCTTGTATGTTCAACATTCACCATTAGCACACGGTGAATGCCAACATTTACCGGTGTAAGTCAGAAATAAAAGTATTTGGAAAATATTTTGGAGATAACCAAGCGACTATGTGAATGTTGACATTCACCAGTGAAAGTCGACATTCTCCAGATTTCGGTGTTTCACTATAACACATATAATATTATGAGTTGGCTAGGTGTTAGTACTACTGTTTTCTAGAACTTAAATTCTATAAAATTCTGTGAACGATATTTCCTTTTTGAAAACTTTTATACTGATCAATACATTTTACAACAGTTTGCACAGCAATTCTCATAATTTAATCTTATTAACATCCAACAATTTCTCAAAACTAGTATGTCATTTTTAGTTCCATACAATTGCAATGCTTTGAGTATTACCCATAAACATGATCTCAAACATTAACATTACACATCATAGCAAGTTTTTGCCATACATATATATTCTGCATTTTACTTTGAGAGTGAACATAAACCTTTACTAAATATAACTATAAAGACTAGGGGACCATATAAAAAATTTGATTTTGCAATTTTTATAAAAAACTGAATGTTTAAATTTTAAAATGACAAAATATGAATCGGTATCATTTGTGTCAGTATATGTCTACTACCAACAGTTGTGAAAAAATAGACATGATATAATTCTGAATTTTAAATATGGAAAGAATAGATCATACATCAAATCAAACATATTTCTGCAAAATTATGAAATGGCATTGTGGTTATTTAGGACAACTAGTTCACCAAAATTTAATCAAAAATGTGCTAATCTAAAAAAATAAATAAATAAAAAATTTGTGACTATAATTCTGAAAAAATAACATCAAAAGAACTTTTTTTAGCCCTTATACTTTTTGCCATACATATATATTCTGCATTTTACTTTGAGAGTGAACATAAACCTTTACTAAATATAACTATAAAGACTAGGGGACCATTATCTCCAAAATATTTTCCAAATACTTTTATTTCTGACTTACACCGGTAAATGTTGGCATTCACCGTGTGCTAATGGTGAATGTTGAACATACAAGAATATTATATTTTATTGTCCGTAATGCAGTCGCGAAAGAATGCACTTGAGACTTAAAATAACAACTTAAAACACGCAGTACATTAAAAATGAGAAAGGAAAATAATAGAAGTTAAAAACTTACTTTGCCATATAAATTTAGCAAAGTTGATAATATGTCATTCCCATTTGTTTCATACTAAGCCATAATCCTCCCAATCTATCATGTCGTAGGCCAACAAATTTTGAGATAGCTCATGATAAAATGTTTATATCTTGCTTTATTATCTTTTTGGTACCCCCTTCCAGCAACTGCTATGTATTGTTGAGTAGGGCTGAACACAGCTAATGATACTTTGTAAAAACATCAGAGCCTTTTTTAGAAGCTTCAACCAGAAAACATTTTGTTTTCCTGCTTACATCAAATACCCATATATCTTAGGTCAGCTCTTTCAAACATTAATTTTCCTATGTACAAATACTCATGCCAATTTCAACAAATTTAATAGGTCTTTCAATTGGATCCTTAGCATATTTGACTAGATGTAAAACAATAACCCCTCATAAAATTATTCCAATCAACTCCAGTTCTTGTATTATAAATATTTAACTATTTCTCAACCACTTGTTTCATGTCCTTTTTACTAACCAACAAAATATAAAATGTAATGCAATTAAAAAAAATTTTTTTTTTTTTTTTTTATCTACGAAACTAATTTCCATCGCTAATGCTTTTCTGTTTTATGCACTGTTTACGTATATAGAAGTGTGGAAGTTCATTATAAATGTTACATCACTCTCTCACTCTGAGAAGGAATTGCATAATTGCCTGTCTCTTTCACCAGAGGAAGCAGGGAGTGGGGAATCATGTGACCTCTCTTTATAGCAGTTTTATTCTATTTGTTTGTTTTGTTTTTGAATCTGTATTTCATTAAAAATTTACATTTTATAATTTAACGTGTGGAAATGATGCTTGATGTTATTATTAGAATTAGAATTTAGAATGAGAACTGGTATCTATAAAAAATGGATGTAATACAATTACTGCAATTGGAATAATATAATATGTTGTTAAGAATTTGTAATGTGCTGTTTTCTTGTGGAACTTTATGTACCTTTTTCTGGAACCTAGACATCATGCAGACATTAAAAACATCATGTAGATGTTAATTAGAACTTAGTAATAATTTCTTAAACCATATGAAACCTGAAATTTGCATGCAATTATTTAATGTTAAAAAAATGTCAAAACACCTCTAAGATTTAATTTAACTAATCAGTACTCATTTTAAATTCTGTTTTCTTTGACTTGCCATTTTAACACAAACCTGTATTGAAACCATTAATTTAATGAACTTTAAAAAAAAGATACAGGAGGCCCTCAAGCAAGAATTGAGGGAGAAATACTAGCAGTGACTTACATCTGAATATCTCTGATGATACAGCCATGGCACTGATTAATGCTGTTGCTTGTAGAATTCCCACCATTCCACAAACAATGGAATTAAATGCTAAGCTCTGCTTAGCTAAATTATTTCACAGGTAGATGGAATAGTTTAGCTTCCTAACTTATGAGACTTTCTGGTTACAATAGCCATTCCTCTGATAATTACCAAATATTTTTTACTACCACACTCAAAGTGCTGCTATTCAAGCATGAAGTTTTCAGCTTTACAAATTACAATGGACCTTCGAAGTTATATTTTAATTCTGTCCTTCTACAAGGTAATAAATGTCTGAGTTGGATTTTATTCTAGAAAGTGAACTATGGTTTTAGTAAAACACAGAAACCTACTGAAAATTAGTTGATAGCTATTATAATTAAACTGGGAGTTAATAAAGGCTAAAATTTGCAACCTACCTTTGATTACCTAAATTCAAATTAAGAATACAAAAGAATTCAGCATGCAAAATATAAAATCAATGCCTCTTGATCCTTACTTACATGTTCACCACAATGACAAATCTGGAAAACTTATTACGAGTGGTATAATAATAAAATTTGTGCTGCTGGAAGCAATTTTGAGGTTCTTGTAATAAAAATCAATAACAAATTATCTTCAGCCTACAATCCAGAATTTAAACCAATTTTCAATGTTCATGAATTAGGTGGTACCAATATATTGGCGAAAATATCGCTACTGATCCTAATTCTAAACATTTAGCAACCTTAAAAACTGTTCCCATTTCTTTTGAAAATATTTTTTTATTTTCATTAATATCCTTTTCTTTCTTTTTTTGGCTAGAGGAAGTGGAGATGACTCTATTATTATTCCAATGTCAACTTAAGAGAAATTAAATCAAGTGCGTATCTGCATACATAATTTTAATTTGGTAAACCTGTGGAGTTCTTTTGTATGGAAGTGAAAGTTCTACAGACCCTACTAGACGAATAGCAAGTTATCACTACACCTTCAACGACTCACATACAAATAACTATTTTATTTAGCCTTAAATTCAGCAGAACAGGTATGATTGTGCTACAGATAAAATTTACATGACTTGTGGATATTTAAATTGACATAACAGAGAGTTAAATTCTAATGTGCATAATGACTACACATAAAATATAGTACAAAGTCCGAGATCCGGATTCGTCGGGACTTCAGCGATTCCGGATTTGGGATTTTTCTAGATAATAGATCATCAGTTTAAATCTAGTAAGATGACATGTAGAAAATTATAAAATAAAAAATATGAAATCAAAATTTATGAAATAATGACGCATTTATCATCTAAAGGGTATCAAAAGTTGCAAAAAAAATTTAGTATTTATTATTTACTTTATAAAACATTTCCTTTAAAGCAAATTGTTTAAGTTGCTTCGTTTTTTGTGCTAATACTTTCTCTTCAATTCCACAGATAGACATAATTTCTTGTTCAGTTACAAAGTTCTACTGTTAAAGTCTTGTAGTTATTCCAACTAATTTGTCAATCAACATTTTTTCATTTTCAATAACCTCTCTGTCACTTTCTTCACTATCGGGAGCGGTATTTTTTGGATCGAGAACCATATTACAGATTTTGCTGTCCGTTAATTGATTGATGATGGGAAAACTGCCATCGCATTTCAAAATTTTTGTTATATCCTCTTTATCACCACTTCTCCACATTTCTTTACAAAATCCATTAATTGGAAAATTTCACTTGTGGTTAGTGACATCCAAAAGCTTTCAAATTGGCTGCTATCATCTTTATCATCCTCACCATGAAATAAAGTAGCTGGCCATAATTTATACCAAGCATTTTTTAAAGTATCTGGAGGCACATCCTCTTACGATTTTATGATGCTCCATACAGCAAATTCTATGCTAAAATATTTTTTTAAATTCTTGAATAGTCGTGCCATTATTCAAGAAATTTAACATGGATTTTAAAAATGCTACTTTATATTTGCATTTCAGCGCTTGTACTATTCCCATATCCATAGGCTGAATGATGGACGTACAGTTTGGAGGAAAGAGTAACACGGATACATTACCTTTCATTAAAACTTAAGTCAGATATGAGCCAACAGTTATCTATAATCAGGACAATTTTTGCATCATCAGGTAATCAACCAGATTCAAATTTTGGCGAGCCTCGGGTATGTAATGATTTTCAAACCAATCATGCATTAACGCTTGTCATCCATACTGTTTTATTTGCATCATATATAACGGAAAAATCTTTACTCCTTTAAATGCCCGAGGTTGTGAATTTTTTCTGATTATGAAAAGTTTACACTTGTGTGTTCCTGTGGCATTTGTGCATGCTAAACTTGTTAGTATAGCTTTGGAATCTTTGACACCAGTTGGATAGTATGGTCTGTAAAAGTTGCCAAGATATTTCATGGTACATACTGCCAGAAAAGACCAGTTTCATCAGTATTGTAAATTTGTCTGGGAGATAATATTTCACTATTAACGAGTTCAATGAATACTGAAGGATTTTTATTTGAAATTTTTAATTGCATTACACCGTGGCAATTTAAAAATTTGGTTAACCAATCTGTCGAATATGTGCACTCAGTTTTTAAGTTCATTTCTTCCTGAAATATTTCGGCTTGAGCCATTAGCATTGGATCCGTCAATGGCATGCCCTTGCTGCGTCTCTGTCTGGCCATTCAGTCATCACTTTGTCATGATCATCACATTTAGCATAGTGAATAATTTTTCTGTTATTCACTGCGAGCGAGATGTCGGAATCCACAAAAAATTCATAAAGTTCCTTTTTCTGTTATGTCATATATAGCTGACTTTCCAATGCCATACTACTCGCATGATTTGGAGAGGGATATACAAATATCTATTTTTTGCAACAATTCCACTTTTTGTTTATTGGATATTGAAACATGCTTTTGCTTTGTAAATCCTGCTGCAGCTTCAGAATTAGAAACTCTTTTTGACATAATCGAAAGTTCTGATTTTAATTTTCATAAACTTGTTGTAATTATAACAGCCTACAAAAAATAATAAGCTGGATGAAATTAGAAAGTTAGGGAACAGTACAATCTGTATATTAACTGAAATTTTTTTTAATCAGCGAGGTGTAATTTTAGCCTAGCTTAACAGCATTCTCTATATATTATTGGTTATGTAGCATGAGACTGGCGACGAAAGACAATTGTTCCGTTTGTTCCGTTAAATTTTGTTTTGCTTCTATCGCACACTGAGACAATTAAGCCTGAATTGTATTAATTTAGTTGTTTATTATACTTATGTCTAATTCTTGCACATGCTTAAGGCTTATCCGAGTCCTGAATAAATAAATTCCCGCATATACTTAAGCTTACTGATGGCCAGCGCTAGATATTTTGCTGATTTTACACTCTCTGTGGATCTTAAGTTCTGCTACCAGGCGCCTCTCTAAGTTCTAAATTTTCCCTGCTTCTTAGTTTTGAGACCCAATGCTTTCCCTAAATTCTAAAAATTTTATCATCCCTTAATTTTGTTACTCGGTGCTTCTCTAAATTCCAGAAATTTTGGCTTCCCTAAATTCTGCCGCCCAGTGCGGCCATGCGATCTCTGGCCCCAGTTCTGGGTTTATGTGAATAAAACATTAGTTAATAGCATTAAATGTAATCTTTTGGCCTATAAGCATCATTAACAAAATCTATTTTTAGCATATGAAAAGAAAATTTTGTTAAATTTTTTCTTGTCAACATTTAGCGCATTATATATTAAAAAAAAAAAAAAAACTGTTTAGGCATCGCTGCATAAGTCGTGTTGATAAACATACAGAGAAGACAGCAAAATATAACAAATAATGATTCGCCAAGTTGGCACCAGGATATAAAATATTAGTAGTTGTAAAATCAACTGTGCTTCTATATAGAATGTTTCAGTTTGAGATGTATGCCAAGCAGATACACAGCTATGGAGCAAATTATTGATTACATAAATTTATGCTATCTTGTTGCTGGTTGTTTCTTCAATAATGAGGTATTTTATTTAGTGGCGAAGTGAAATTAAGAATTGGGATTCTCTACATGTTTTCTTACAGGGGAAAAATCAATTGCACATGCAAAGCATAAAAAAATTTCCCCCAAATTTTTTTGGTGATGGCTTCAAAGGTCCAAATTTTAGATCATTTTGGATCTTGGACTTTGCACTGTAGATTAATTTATTTAGCTTAGAATTTTACCAGCCAGCAAGAATGCTAAGGCTAGAATATGACTTTAAGCAGAGCTGGCAAGAGTAACTAACAGCAAGATGTGGTTGTCAGAAGCTCTTATCTGAACATTCAAAATTCTCAGCTTAAATACACAAAAACCTAATTTGCATTCTGGTGAGAAATACTGAAAGCAGAAGTTGCAGACTTAAATCATTATAATTAGTTAACATAAATTACCTTACAAAAAAACAGACACAAAATATACTTTACAAATCTTCCCCTCAGAAAATTCTCAGGACAATATTTGTTCCTCATGCTAAATTTCACTCATTAAGTGTTTACTAGATTTGCCATGAAATAAGACAGAAACAATCCATGTCTTCCAGGCTTAATATAGTTTTCCAAAAATCACAAATGTTTCAATTCTTACAAAATGAAATGATATGACGGAAGATATGCAATGACAGCAACTTAATGTTATGTCAACAGTAGCCGACTAAGTATTAAAATAAGAACTGGGAACTGATTCAAGATGAATTCACTTGCCTTCTTACTTAACAGAATTCATAATGGAGGTAGAAATAGACTGTGGACAATAACAATCTGATACAACTATACCCATCAGCAACCAAAAACCTTTTCATCAGATAGTTGACGCTGAAAATACATTTCATCATTAAAATACACTGACAGATTGTTAATGGTGTATTATCAGGTACCAATTTAGACACATGTATTTAATTTTCTTTAAAAAAATATCATGAAAACATCTTTTTCTAAGACATTTGGTAATATACAATAATTAACCAAACCACCAATCAAACTCTTCAGTTTGATCCATCAGAGGCTATGGTTAAGGTTAAGGAATACCAGCAGTTTGTCTTGCATTCAAACCCAGGCTAATGGGCAGGCATCGTTGCTGGTTTTCCCATGTGCAATGCGAATACAAGACATTTTTCATTAGAAAGTCCTGCACAAAGCATCCCTTCCCTTGGTAAATAGCCTCTGTGAGCTTTGGCATATTCTCACAAGCAAACAACTAACTCTTCAGTTTCTCTCAATAAATTAATATTGAAATCCTATTTGAAGGCTTCATTAGCCTCATGTATCAATCTTGTTTCCTAAAGGAAATAGCCCCTGTGAGCTTTGGTATATTTCCATATGCAAACAACCAACTCTTCAGTTTCTCTTAACAAATTAGTATTCAAATCATATTTGAAGACTTCAGTAGCCTCATGCAACAATTTCGTTTCCTACAGGAAATGTTGAATTTTTAGTTCACTAAGCGAAAATATTAGATCATTACAGGAACAAAGAAACATTTTTGAGGTCAGACATGAAAAATTACTGAACATTTTTAAGATATATGAATTATTAATAAGATAAATATATCTGATTAAACTACAAAACTTTCAGATTTGTTCAAAATCTTATTTAAAATTATTATACTTACACTTTTCGGCAATGTGGACATCGAGCAAGAGCATTAGTCAGAGTGTTGAACTGAAAATGAGTGGAATAAATAAGGTTTCACAAAATTACAAATGAATTTACTATATCAGCTTTTCATATATCATTCAAGTAAAGTTTTATGAAATTTACCGGTACTTTTCCATTTCGCTGGCGCAAATCTCGCCAAGTAGACTGGGGAAAACACAGTATTCACATAAAAATGTTGACAAAAGTTAGTTCTAAGAATTTTTTATTTTAAAGGTATAAACATTTTAATGTCGTTTAAAATTCTGTAAAAAAAATTTTAATAAATAAAGACAATAAATTTGTAAAAATACATAAATTTAACAACTTATTATGCTTTTGTACAACATCCTGATTCGCCGGTTCATATTACGTGACCCCAAGTGATCTCATCTCACATAAACTACACTACAAAAATCTAATTCTCTCAGTAATTATCTACATTAATTTCAAGTTAAATCTTAATTTGAAATACAAGGTTAAATGCAAGAGTTACTTTAATTCATACGAATAGTTTATGTAAAACCGCAGTGCTTTATTTCGCTTGTGCATTCTCATTAGAATTGATGAATTTAACCTTTGACTTTGCCATTTCTATATTTTCGCCATTGGGTGAGCGGTGTGATTGCATCCTAATTGACTTAATTACCACCTGCGAATGGCCTTATTCCATAAAATTGAACTATATGGTAAAAACTCTATGTAATTTTATGCCAGTATTGAAATAAACAATCAATCTGATAAGAAATGGCTGCGACTTGTTTTGAAAATGTAAAAGTTAAAGTAAAAGGTTACGGCGAGGATATTTCATTTGGCATCGGTTGTACCATTACTGGTGACTTTATCGCTTGCGCCGGCAAAACGGAAAAGTACCAATTTACCATTTTCTAGACATGGTGATTTCGGGCACTGCAGGCCTTGGCCCATTAGGGCTGTTATGCCACTGAGTTTAAATTTAGTTTAGACATGGTGATTTACAAATGGAAACATTCTTTATGAAACCAGTATTACAAAAATAAAAAAGTGAAACAAAATAACATAAAGTTGCATTTTCATAATATATAATAAAACACTGAAATTCACATATTATAGATGTACAATAAATATTTCCAAAAATTTTGATGATATAAAACTTTTTCACATAAAATCATAATTGTACTTGAAAATTCTAGACACTTAAAATTATTTTTTAAATTCGTACACACACAGAGATTAATAATTAGAGGGATTTTAAAAATATTCTGATTTGCTTATAAAGTAAGGTTAACTCTATTAAGCTATGTGCTAATTTGAAATTATTTGCAATAAAATTAAATGAATTTTTATTTGCAATTTCTCTATAGTTTTGTTGGTTCCATAAATACTGATTTTACAAGGTTACATATCAATAGATTTTTATCATGGGATTATTAATATTCAAAAACTAGAAACATATGCATAATAAAAAATATATTCCTGATGAATGAAGTAAAACAATGAAATTAACTTCCTAATCTTACAAGATATATCTGATAAACTTTCAATATACTGTTTAAACACAATAGAAGAAGGAGTTTATTAACTTTATAAAGTTATGCTGCAGTACATATTTCAAAATGTGTACTTGAATATGTTTACAACATACAGACAAATGCTGCATAAAAAACGTTTTACAAAAGAAAAATTCCAAAATGGGTGGTGGGAAGCAAGTAATGTGTAAAGTGCTATAAAATTCAGATTTTTTCTCAGCAAACTACAGAGGTGACTTAATTTTGGAAACAAAATTGCAATTCATTTTCCCAAATACTGTAATTAAATAAATTCTCATCAAACAAACTAGTGTAAATTTAGGAACTATCAGTATTCCTAACATTATACACTGAAACAAAAATTTACTTATTTTCCATTAAAAAGTGAACACTAATATATATATATGCACACCATTTTTCAGAGATATAACAATGAATGTTACTTAAAGACAGGAAATGGACTAGTTGTACAAGGTTTGAGAGATTATAATCAGATGCCCCCTTCCCATTTAAAAAATGCTTTTTACAATACCTAAGTACTGGTTCTCAAAATTTTTTGTTCCGTGCACCCTTTTGCTATTTCTAGACAATCATAACTCCTCATCTCAAAACTAAAAAAATACATATATTTATTTAAATTTAGATTACTTTTTAATCTGTTTCATAAATTAAACAAGTACAGTAAATGTTGTTAAATACCAAAGCTTGAATAAAAGTGGTTTTTATATTCATAAACAAACTACTCAACAGGCTGACTGCATCTCTCACAAAGTGTACAGTGCCTCTTAAGTAATAAGCCACATTATGCTCTAGACCAGGGGTTCCCAACCCTTGGGGGTGAGAGGTAACATTCCAAGGGGATGTGAGAATATATTTTCATTTTTTGTTCATAATAAAATTGAATATTTGTTAAAAAAGTACACCAACAATGATATGCAAGCAAAACATAGTTCCTGGCATGCATCAATAACAAATTTGCCATACATATTTTTAATGTCACATGAAATGATATGTGACATGCATATCGGAATAATTTGTGGATCATGAAAATATTATCAAAATCATTTGATACCTTCAAAACTTTAAAAACACAAATTACAAACCCATGCTATTTCAATTTGGATAATATGTCAGAGGATGAACTGATGGAAGATGTTTTAGACCTATATGTCATTAAGTTTTTCTTTTTCTGACACCAGTAGTTACCTTATATTCTTCCTTCACGTTCGTACGGAGTTCGTAGATTTGGAATGAATACCGACGACACTTGATGAAGTGTCGAAACACGCTTTATTTACCGGTATTGTCAGGACAGCTCCAAAACACGTTTTACAGTCGTCGAAGATCTACTATAAACCCGCTGACACGATCAGCGACACAGCCTTCAGGTTATCAGGCTATCACAGTGGAGACAGCTTCCTGCAAAGCAGCCGACTCTGCTTTCCGGAGTACAGCTCCCGACTCTTGCTTGGTAGTTCTCGGAACTCCACGTACTCTCGAAACTCTCCACGATACAACTCGCGATGCACTTGACGACACACGAGCACAGCTCCTGACTCTTCAGTTCAATCTTTCCCAGAGCTTAACACGCTCTCTCGATGATGCACTAACGGGGATACTCTACGAGACTCTTTCGGTGTACTCGACGACCCACTCGGAACTCGCTGCCCGGCTGTCAACGCGATCGCCTCCGCAGGCATCGACTCGCTAGACGAGACACACTCAATGAGAGACGCACACTTCCTCTCGATGAAGCACACTAACTGACTGCGGACCAGTAAGGTTTATATAGCTTTCGGCTTATGTTCGGGAGCATTCTGGACTAAACCGGTAAGAATTTGTTCCAGAAGGTTCTCCAAATGTCCATGGTATATCACCAATTTTGTCGCCAAATGGGCGATTTTTTGCCAAATGTGGCAACCTTGCCCTCCTTGCTATTTTATGGCAACCCTAAAACTGCCCTGCGAGGAAGCCATCCCACCGCGCCTTTACATTTCACATTTCGTAATAATATAAATGTTCTTAAATGTAATTTGAAAGCAACACTTCAGAACAATATTGTTGTTCACCAATGAATACATTCTCAAAACTTGGTGAAAAAGGCACTAACTGTTTTTATTCTATTTGCTGCAACATACTAATGGGAGTCTGCATTCAGTGTCCTTTTATCAATAAAAAAAAATTCAGAAATCAGTTGAATGCACAAGCAGATATGCAAATTGCTATTAGCAACAAAATGCCACGGTTTGATAAACAGGAACCAGCATTAAAATTTTTTTAAGGGTCTAGGATACACAAAAGGTTGCGCACCCGTGCTTTAGATATACAGAAAACTATGTCTGAGAATTTACTATGACAAAAACCGCAGTACACAGTCCACAGCTATGCTAAAATGCTCAATTTTCCTTAGCAGGGATCATTACCTGCAATCACATTGGTAAAAATGCATGGAGATAGAAAGCCATCTCGGCACAAGATGCTCCGCTTATAAGTGGTTTACCAGATAAATATTTTTTGGAAACATGCAGCATTGCATCATCAACACTTTTTCAAAACATTTCAGTGGAGATGCAAATAATCAGAAAGTACCATTCTTAAAGTGAAATAGTAAAAATTAGATTTAAAATGCTATGCAAATGATGCAAAACAAATTGCACTAATAAGCTTTCATACTCACCTTAGTTATTCATATACTTATACTAAAATAAAGAATACTTCCTTAAAATATTACTTACCAAAAAGAGACTATGGCAATGTACACAGGATACTTGGCACATGCCTGGAACATTTGGAGGAAGAGTGCTAGCAGGTGCAGGTGTGAGATTGATGACCCTTTTGCTTTGGGAAGAGGGGGAAATGAACAACAATTAATGCATTTCTATATTTAAAATGAAATTTAGTAATTAAGCTATATTATTCGTTTCAAATTTCCCATACACTACAGTATTTACACAACTGACAAATTTATTTTTTTTTAGCATTAAAATTTTGAGAAGAGAAAGGTCTATGAATCTCATAGACCAGCCTATAATCTCATATCATAAGACAGCACTAGTGCTCTCCTCAGACCCCCCCCCAAAAAAATGTTATTAATAATATAATTATTGTAACTTCCTATTTTTTAATAAAAAAATGCAATCTCAATTTTTGTTTTCTTTTAATACGGATATTTTCCACGTAATTTAAAAAACTTACCAGTTATTTCGAGGACAAGCAATTCTTTGAGAGCTAGATTTACATATAAGAAGACAATTACAAGGACAACGAACATATTTTTTCCCTGGAGGTGCACTTTTGATAGGCTGAAAGATAATGATAACAAAATAGTAATGTAACAAAAATTTCAGAGAAATAAATGATAATTAATAAAAACTTTCACATTACAAATATTACACAACACAAGCAGTTTAAAAAATTAAAATATTAACAACTTTGTAAAAAAATATTAGCAACTTTATAAACTTTTATGTGCTAAGTGTACTTAGCCCTGGAAAGTAATACACAGTTGTTACAAAATGTTTTATACAAAATCCATAACTTATCATGAAACACAGCAAACTCCTGATAAACAGGAGTAATGCATTCCATGAAGATTAAGCCACAATCACAATTAATCTGACAGCAGTTACAAAAATGCTGGAAACAGGCCTATCCCATATAATAATTTGCAGAGAAACACTATTAACAGTTCACCTGTATTGTAATTTGAAGTTCATTTGGTTATGTAAACTAAATCAGCATTTAAAAAAATCTAAAAGGGCTCAGATTTTAACAGTCACCCAAAAGGTCTCCTTATAAAATTTAATAAGGTTTATCAATAGAAATTACCAACAGAACTTGCCAAAGTTGAAAGGAAAACTAAAAATGTATTAAACATGATTTTCTAAAATTATATATTTTTAATTGGATATATATGAATTCAATGCACTTTTATTTAAATCTATTAGATTTTAAAAAAGAGAAATCCGAAAAGGTTCCGATTCCTTTAACAGTCGAAAAGACTCTTTTAAATAGAATATTTTTAAATATAAATAGAATAGAAAAACATTTTATAGGATGCTACATGAATATGCATTTAGACCAATATGGGAATGTATATATCTTCTGCACATTTGAAAAATGATAAAATTTATAGTGTAATTCTATAAAAAAGTATTTAATTTATTTAAAAATAAATTGGATATGTAGCAAATTAAATTCATTTTTATTTAAATCAATCGGATTAAAAAGTAAAAATAATCTTAGCTACATTTCTTGCTTTTAAATAGTTGATAAAAATAATCTTAACTACTTTTACATAGTTGATAAAATAATCTTAAGAACTGCATTTATTGCTTTTAAATGGTTAGGTAATAAAATAAAAGACAGATTCAATTTATTTATTTTTTTTTTTTTTTTATTTTGCTGAATGACAACAAAGTTCTACGAAAAGCGAAATGCATTTAAAGCGAATCAACACGACACGAAATCATGTTTCGAGACTATAACCCTTTGGAGTAACGAGTATAACAATTTCAAAACAAAATGAATGATGATTTTGTTTAAATTATTCTTATATTTTAAGAGAAGAAAATGGAAAACAGAAAATTAAAGGATAAAAACAATATACTGTAATACTATCTGCCACTGCAGCTGTGAAAGCCAATAATAACAATAAATATCATAACATCTGCTTTCAATGCTTTATCCCATGTATTTTCCTCTTCTTTCTGTATTTCACATCGAAATTCATTATTTTAATGGTTTTAAGTTTTCCTATTGTTCTGCAATAAAAAAAATTATTTTTTTTTAGACAAGGCCTGGTTTTATCAAGAGTTGATTGCAATTGGCTCACTATGTATTAGTCTCACTATGATTAAATTATATTATTACGCCATAAAATTAATCAACTACAGTCAAAAGTCGTTAATCCGGACCTCAAAGCTACAAACTTTCTGCACATCCGCGTAATGCCTTTACGCATGCGCATATGCATGTACACACGCGCATAATACATTTACGCATACGCGTTTAATGTATAACGGACGGCATAAGCTAAGCTAAAATTATCTAATTATTTATTTCAGTTAATGTTGCATATTGCATTGTTCCTTAATCTTCGAATTGGATCTGGCTTATTATTTTTTGCAGACTGTTAGAGCAATTTTATAAAAGTAAGTTGGAACTTTCGATTATGTCAAATAGAATTTCCGATGCTGGATCTACATGTTTCGATGTCCATCAAACAAAAAGTGGAATTGCTGCAAAAAATGAATAAAGGCTCCTTTGTTTCTCTAACCATTCTGAAATCTGTTTATCAATTCTACGCTACTCTGCGTGGGGAGGTCGCGGCGAGCAATGAACTGGAAGTTGATCTGTCAGCACTATCCTTATCTTCAGGGCAGATGTTTTATTTTATTTGGCTTATAATTCCTTACTAAATGTAGTATTTCATCTCGATGTACTCCGTCTTTGATATGTTTTAAATCAAATTCCTCGTCATTATAAATATCACGAATACAAATCAAATAGTTTTCTGGTTGCAATTTTCTAATTTCGACTATGCGTAATGTACGCTTTACGCATGCACGCGTTGAAAGAATTGTTTAATAAAGTAAACAAATAAATATTAAGCTTTTTTTTTGTAAATTTTGATACCCTTTAGATCATAATTGCTCTTTATTTCATAAATTATGGTTTCATATTTTTAATTTTATAATTTCTGCATGTCATCTTACCAGATTTAAACTGATGATCTATAATTTGGAAAAATCGATAATCCGGAATTCCCGAAGTCCTGACGAGTCCGGATTAAAGACTTTTGACTGTATTAAGTTTCAATGCAAAATAAAAAAAAAAAAAAAAAAAAATTAAAAAAGCTTTAAAGGAAGCAAGAGAATGAAAAGCCAATTATTAACATGGTTAATTATCCATAAGCAGAGCGAGCATGAAACTTGGCGAGAGTTTGTATTTGGCATGATTTTGATTTGGTTGTGGTTTCAGGCTATATGTTTTTTTTTTTTGGGAGGGGGGCAAACACAGAGCTTTATTTCAGCGATTGTAATGAGAGAGAGTTTAGCGTAGCCAAAAGATTTTTTTTTTAAATTTAATTTTGAAATGCTATGTTTATTTTTAAAAGTTTTACTGTTGGGTCGATTATTTATTTATTTATTTATTTATTATTATTATTATTATTATTATTGATTATTGCATGTTGCAACCGAGAGATGTGGAATGTTTAAACTGTTGAGTGAAAGTGGTTCAGTGTGCTGAATTCAATGATGATAGTAACTTGTATATTTTAGTGACTGTATGCTGCATCCATTGTTAGTGAATTTGAATATACTTACTTGGTTAACAATTCTGAAGCCCGAGGGAAATGCTATACAATTTCTTTCAGAAGTTGTTTTAATTCCTTCAGTTGAAATTGATGTGGAGTGTCTAAAATGTTCTGTGAAGATGGTTGTTAATTAGGATTCAAGTAAAAAACTTGGTTGGCGCTGGGTTTGTAAGAATAAGAGTACCGTTCTGAGATGTAGTGGTGGTTTGATGCAATTGAAGAGACATTTGGTATGTATTATTTTTGCTTTTTTGTAGTAATTTATTTTTGTAATTTTTAGTTTCATGTTTTGTAGTTTATTTCAAATTTATGTTTTAGTTTGTAGTAATTTACGCTTGTGTTGTATTTAGAGTCATTTTCGTTTCACGATGTTAGATTTTACATTGTCATTTCCTTTTGCAATTGGCAATTGCGAAACTTTGGAGCCAACCTACCCTGCTTACGGAAGATTAGCCATTAACACACAAGTTTAAAGCATTTAAACTTTAAAAAGATAAAAGTGCTAATAATTATTTAAATACTACTATACATGCTCAGACAGAAGATGGAATGTTGGGCAAAAGCAGCTGCAGAATGGAAGATACTTATAAAAAAGGGACTTGGGTATCTCATACAGTATATGAATTTGAAAAACAAAATACTCTCTACAAGAAAGATTATCAAATTTTTTGCGATGGGCATATCACATAGGTATCAGCCACAAACTGTACCCCAGAGCCAGGTGTGAATCGTCGCTTAAATTGACTCTTAGGATAGGTGTGACTATTTTAGATAAAACATTTAATTAGTCCTTCTCCACTAGATAGTGGAATTTCTAGAGACTAGAGAATGCTGACCTTCATTCCATTGCAGTAGCTTTTATTTTTGATATTTTATTTCAGAAAAAATGTGGAAGTACAGGGTTGAATAATGTAAATAAATAGATCTGGCTATTAACTGTGTCAACAGATTTAAACACATGGGAATGATCTTAACGCATCTGAACACTTTTGTTTTTATTTTTGGCAATATGGAGATATACAGTGGTGGCCAAAATCATGGACACTTTTTGGAAATTTTTATGTTTTTGAACTTTGTTGTAGAAAATGTTACATTTCGCAAAATGCAAACTTGTATATATCATTTTAAAGAGAATTTATTACTGAATTCAATACAAAACACAAAATTCAAGTATTTGCAAATACAAAAAAGTTATATGTACTTTAATATAAATAAAAAACACAGTTATGAAGTTGTTTGTAATGTCTAACTTTCCTGGCCAATCACTGTTCTTGTTCTGAGAACCAATCAAATGTTAGTAATTGCCAGTAGAAGCTGACATCATGTTTACTCTTGAAACAATTCATTATTTTGTTTTGTTCTGTAGATGGAGGACCTGTTTCTTATGCACTTCAATTACAAGTAGGAATTTTTGTAAAAAATTTTAATATTTAGTCAAGAAAAAATGGAATCAAATAAAAGAGTAGATTGGACACATAGAAAGAAATGTAATATTATTGTGTTATGAGAAAGTGGTCTTTTCTATGCTGAAATTCCAAGACAGGTGGGTGGTTCAGTGACTACATCTGGAGTCCGAAAGTTTTGTTTACGATATCAGGAGACAAATTCAATAAAAAAACAAAGAAGGAAAAGGCCGAAAAAGGTGCACCACATCTATTGATGACAGAAGAATAAAAAGACTATGTCTCCAAGATAGAAAAATGTCATCAGCGGCCATCAGAAGTGATCTGAATGATGCTGGTGTTTCTGTCAGTTCAAGAACAATCAGGAGAATATTAACAGATGTTGGACTGAGAGGTAGAATTCCACGAAAAAAGCCTTATCTTAATTTTCAGCAACGAAAAAAAACGCCTACAGTGGGCAAAGGCACACATTAATTGGACAGATGATCAGTGGTCACAAGTTATATGGAGTGATGAAACTAAGATATCGTTATTCGGTAGTGATGGGCGAAAATATGTAAGACGTAGAATAGGAGAAGAGCTACATCCTGACTGCATTCAAGCAACTGTGAAGAACCCAGTTAGTGTTATGATTTGGTCATGCATGTCAGCAGATGGTATTGGTCGCCTTCATGTCATCGATGGGACACTGAATGCTAGAAAATACATTGACACTATTCTAGAACCAAACCTTCCATCAGAGATCTCTTTCCCAACAATGCTTCGTTTATTTTTCAGCAGGATTCTGCTCCTTGCCACATGACCAAAATATCGAAAGAGTGGTTTCGTACAAAGAGCATTAAATTGTTGTCATGGCCAGGAAACAGTCTTGACCTCAATCCTATCGAAAATTTGTGGCACCGTTTGATAACTCTTGTCCGAATGAGGCGCCCATCAAATAAAAGGAAATTAATTGAGGCTATAATTGTTTCCTGGCATCATGTAATAATGAAAGAAGAGCTTAAAACCTCTTGTCAGCTCAATGAAACGTCGATGTGAAGCTGTAATGAAAAAATAAAGGGTACCCTACTAAGTACTGATAACTCACTGCAATCATCACTATCTAATGTATATCGATAACTATTATCGTTTAACTTTTTTTGTATAAATTCTCTTTAAAATGATATATACAAGTTTGCATTTTGTGAAACGCAACGTTTTCTATAAGCATACAAAGTTCAAAAACATAAAAATTTCCAAAAGTATCCACAATTTTGGCCACCACTGCATATCATATAGGTTTCATTTCTCTTTCAGAGTTTGGCTATATTTGTGTATCATTTAGTGAAATTTTCTTTTTATACTTCAGATGGCAAGGAAAAAATATTGATTAAATTTACTCTTACAACTACCTGAGTGTTCCTCTCACAGGAGTGTTTGTGGGACCCCAAAAAAACCCCTGAAACTTTTAAGGACTTACTACCGACATTTTGGAGTTTCGAGAAGGGGGGGAGAGAAATGAAAAATTACAATTATGAAGTATTGAATGACCTAATTATAAAAGTTCAATGAATTACTTTTTTTTTTTTTTTCAAAATTAATAACCATAAATTTTCAAACATATAAACTACTACATTTTATGTAAATATTTTAAATTACCTGAATTAATTCTTTTAAAAAAAATTATCTAATTTCTGCTGCTTTTTTTTTATTTTCTGATGTTTGTGGGCTTGTCTTTCTTTTGTGGTGAACTTGATAATTGCAGGAAGGTTGACTTTTATTTTCTTCATTTACAGTTGAGGGAATTTCCTCGAGAACTGCACATGCAGAGGTAGAAGCAGTTTGCTTTTCTGCTAATGTAGAAGGTTTTTCAGAGACTTTTATAGGTGACTCATCTGAAATACATGTTTTTAAATCTTCTTGATATGTTTTCCAACTTCTGTTCATATTCAGTAAGAGATCTTTGTGAATTGGATCAGTCACTGGATTTTTTTAGCCATATTTTTCACATGAGGTTTCTTTAGAAGCCATTAAATCATATTTAATAGTCTGCACTGCATCTAGGGTCAGTGACAAGTGTATCCATTAAGTTGAATGCACTTTCCACTAATGGGCCATGGAAGCAGCTAAGGCAGGCTTTGACCAATTTAGCCAATGTAGGATACTTATAATCATTTGTGAAATCATATTTTAAATTAAAAACTTTAGACCAATATTTATCAATTGTACACTTGACTTGATTTCCACTTTCATCAGATGTGTAGAGCATTTCTTTGGTGATATCAACATCACTCTGGTATAACCTTATTTCAGCTTCTACTTTTGACTTTTCATTATCACTAAAAATATGGGACATAAAAGATGATAATTTTTCAAAAGCTAATATTGTACTGGTTTTACCTCTTAGCTCTGGATCTAATGCTGTAAAACTAATTAGATATGAATTTTTAAGGGGTAATTTCTGTGCTGTATTAGTATAAGCTTTCAGAGAAATTTGGAATAAAACTGCAATATTGCCAGTATACTTTCTTGAGCATTGCTAGTACTTTCATCCAAATTTAGAGAAAATGGAGTCTCCTTTAAAGTTCCTTAATAGTTTTTGGCGAGCCCATATTTCATCTTATAACATGCGGTAGTCCTGGACATTTCCAACGAGTTTAGTGCCGTCTGATCGCGGCTCAACTGTTTGCAGAGTTCAATTAAATTGGGAGCTACATTGAAAGAAAGAGAATTCTCGGCGATAAACGAAGTTATTAATACCTCTTGCCGTACTTTTCTTGTCACTATATCCAATGGCCGAGCATCAGTCTCCAGTAAGTCATCAGTATTTTTTGAATTGGCATAATTACTTAAAGTCATTGAATGTTTAATGCACTTTGAATATTTTATGTGCGTCACAGTTTTAGAATGATTTGTGAAAGCCTTGAATCCTTCCCCACCATACTTCAGCAGTGAGTTACAAAAAACACAATATGCTTGTCCAGCAACATTTATTTTCTTGCACCATGTGCCGATGGTATCCCCATCACCATCTCGTCCAATCCAATTCCACCTAAATGCATTCCGGACACCTTCTTCTAATTGTATAATATCACTATTTATATCGAGAAATTTCATAGTGAAATTCTCTTGCGTACATAAATAAAAAAATATTTCAATAAACGAAACGAAAAATTTACACGTGCATCAATAAATGAAACGAAAATTTTACAGAGCGGAGGAAAAAAGTTGAGAAGCGATCAATGACAAATAGCTAATATGGCGAAAAATCCCCCTTCTCTACTTATTGGCACCACGCCAGGAGAGAAGACCTTTGAACCCAGAGTCACGTGATCGCACATCTGGTCGAACGAAGTCTCTCCTTTTTTTTTCTGCCACGCCTACTTGCCGAAAAGAATCCAGAAGAGAATGTCCGAGAACCGGGGGAATAAGTCATAACTCGCAATAAGGAAAGAACAAAAAAGAATTTTTTTTCCCTTTTCACGCATTATCACTGCCTTTGGAGAAAGAAAGGAAAAGTTTTCACCACACACACTGACCTTGCATTTTCTGCTTTCAAAGCAAACAAAATTACCCAGATCAAAATAAATAATTCATTATTATTCCTACTTCCTTTTGAACGACGATCCCCGAAATTTCCAGGTATCAAAGTTCAAAATCCGTGGAATTCCGGGGTTTTCCCGGAGCACAAACACCCCTGCTCTCATAACATGCCAAAAATTGAAATAATCGATAGTTGCATATTTTTAATAAAGTTGGGTTTAGTAGTGCAAATTTCCCATTCCAACAAGGCAGAACACATTGTCCCAAGAGAGCGATTCGGTGTCTGAAGTGTCCGTCAAAAAATGGTTAAACATTTAAATGCTATATTTTTAGATAAACTAAATAATATTTTCCTTCTTTAAAGCAAAAGCTGTAAAAGCTTTTGATGACACTTCAAATTTACACACTGCAGATTAGACTATTATATTCTCCATTCCGCTGATATTTTATGTTATTTTTTTTCCAGCTGGCTATTCCAATATTGGATTTCAGAATTTCTACTGTGCCAGGATTAATACAGTTATGTTAAATAGTATAGTCTAGTTTTATTTGATTATGGCAAAGCACATTAAGGCTCTAAGGGGAAGGAAGACTTTGTGAAGGAGTTTCTAAGGGGAACTGGCTCATATTCACGTTACACATCAGTAAAACCACGAAAACATCCACGCAGCCAGCCCACTTAGAATCGAACAACCAGTGCCCAGCGACACTGGTGGGCAAAGAGTACGGTCAAATAACAGACTAATGTAATAATATCAAACAAGACAGTTGTATTACTGATGATCTCTTACTTACCGTAGCTTCATTACAACTGCTACATTTGACAACATGTTGCTCCCTTCTTCCAGTTATGTCAATCATAAAACCACAGACTTTACAACATATCATAGGCACCCCATGAGGAGAAGGACTATATGGAGGTGGCAACTCATCGGGACCAATCGGAGGAACTGTTACATATGTGGTTTGCCGATCACCTTCTGTTCCTGAAAGTGATACAACTCAAATAAGCAAATCGATAACTATTTTAACATCCTATAGCTCGAAAGGAAGAAATAAACACAATGCTGCAATGCGATTTTCAGGTATATTTCAGTAAGTTTTAAGCAAATTTATTGCAGCTATGATATTCTAATTTTTTTTAAATAATAACTATGATAATACTAATAGTTATCAGGACTTGATTCAGAAATGTATATATGTATGCATGCATGTATTTATGGATGGATGCGCTCAGGTACACATGCATGTACACGTATATGTGTGTGTGTGTATAGTACGTATGTGTGTGTACACACATGCATATATACATACATTTCTGAATTTAAATGTTCCATAATGCTTTAACCTTAGAAAAAATAAGGTGCTACATCCCATGCTCACAGCAACCTGTTGATCACTAATGCTCACTATGTACGACTGCTCACAGTTACGAGAGAATAGAAGAAAAAAAAGTGTTTTGTTATAAATGCTTCCTGTATTTTTAATTTTAGTGCCTGTTCTGTGCAATTCAATATGTCACTTTTAATAATGGATGTTTCCTTTCACATCTTAGTTTGGTGAAAAATTGGATAACTCTTTCAAGGTTCGAAGAAATATGTACTGTTCTGTTATCGGGACCGGATTCAGAAATGTACGAATGTAGGCACATGTGCATGTATGTATATGCATATGTGTGTGTATATATACACATACGTTCGTGCTTCCATATATACACGCAAAATATAAAATCTGGCTTTCAAATAATAAATTAATGGCCCTTTAACTTCCATTTCATTCTAAAAATAACAGCTATAAATTTGTCTCCCTGCAGTTCTCATGCACACTTACCAATGAAATCTGAAACAAAAAATCTAGATTTTAAACTGTCATGTGATCTGAAATGGAATTCATATAAAAGGACAAATTGCATCACAACTCCCTCCCTTCCATCTCTTCTCTTGCTTCGTGTCGTTGCTTTGCATTGCCGCTAGCCTCGCTGAGTTTACTTTTCTAAATTTAGTCCATTCTTTTAAGAAATGTGAGTTTTACAAACTTGGGAGGTGCATAGCATACCTACAGTGATAATGTGCATTATCCAAAAAATAATGTGTGTTCTTCGAGTATCATCTTGCTAACTACGCAGACAATGACAATGTCTCCCAAAGCATAATACCGCAATATCAGCTTGTGTATGCCCTACTGTGAAGGGGGATGGAACAACTATTCGCCTGGAAGACTATGAAATCAAGATTCATCCGACCAGACAACTGTCTTTCACTTATTCACGGTCCAATCTCAATGTTTGCTGGTCAAATGTATGGTGTAGTTAATGATGATGCTCAATAAACAGAGGCACACAAGCGGGACATCTGCTGTGCTGTCCCATATCTAACAGCGTCCTCTGAACTGTGCATTTCAAAATACTTGCACTTGGACCTGCATTGTACTAGGCTGTCAGCTGAGCCACTGTCCGGAACCTATATTGTTGTACTAAGTGAGACAGTCTCCTATCTCCTTTTACTTTGGTGACACGTGGACATCCAACACACACACATCTACCAGTCGTGCAGTTACAGAGATACTTATTACGAGTCTTCAGACCTTTACAATCTGACCTCTTTCAAATTCTCTTGGATCAGCAGCCTTTGCAAAAGTAAGTGCAAAAATGATTCCTTAGCTTCTCCAGCAGCAGTTAAATACCATTCCCATTTAATCACATGCCCTCATCATCCAGATGGGTCCACTGAAAAATGTTGGGATGGTCATAAAGTTTCGGCTCATAGGTGTAGAAAGCTCCGTGTTCAGAACTTTCAGCTACCGGTAACAATATTTTTTTAATGTAACATAAGAGCAAGTTCAAGTGCAATATGATTTACAGATGTTTCTATTTGCAGAAAATATTAATTGCCTTTTAAAGGAAAGTATAATCATGAATTTTCTACAACAGGCATGCCAATCCCAGTACCTCACGTTGGCCAAATAATTATCAGCAGGGCTGATACTAGGCTTTTTTGCCACTCAGTTTCTTTTTCAGTTTCAAAAGTTTTGCTGCCTCTAAGTTCTGATAGCAGTGCAATTGCACTAGTTGCATCGGCCTTGATCAGCATTGTATGACAGTATGCCCACAAGAAACAAAAAGCCATTTTTATACTTAATGATGTGAGTAAATATATACGATCTTCACCTAATACTGAAGTTCTTAAAGAAAAATAAAGGCATGTAAGGAAATCCTGGAAGTAGATGGATACCTATTGTTGATTTCCCCAATACCTGACATCTTTTTACTGGGTACTTGCGGAAAATCCCGTCGACCACAAAAGATGGCGCAAATTGCGCCAAATAAAAAAAAAAAAAAAAACTAAATACAAAAAAAAAAAAAAGTTATTTCTTATTTATTATACAGTACAAAGTCCATATTCCCGACTCGTCGGGACTTCGGTGATTCCAGATCAGGGGTTTTTCCGGATTATAGATCATCAATTTAAATCTGGTAAGATGGCATGCAGAAATTATACAACTAAAAATATGAAATCGTAATTTATGAAATAAAGAACCATTATGATCTAAAGGGTATCAAAATTTACAAAAAAAAAAAAAGCTTAATATTTATTTGTTTACTTTATTAAGCATTTCTTTCAATGTAAGTCGTTTAAGATGCTTCCACAAAAATACAAAAAGTTTCTTTTTCTCGTGTCATATATAGTGGACTTTCCAATGCCATACTTCTCGCATAACATTGAGACAGACAGGCCTTTATCAATTTTTTACAGGAATTCCACTTTTTGTTTAATGAACATCGAAACATGCTTTCGCTTTGTAGATCCTTTGGCAGCTCCAGAATTGAAAACTCTTTTTGACATAATCGAAAGTTTAAGCTTAACTTTTATAAAATTGTTCTAACAGTCTGCAAAAAATAATAAGCCAGACCCAATTAGAAGATTAAGGAACAGCGCAATCTGCAACATTAACTGAAATGCCTTATGTAGTTTTAGCCTAGCTTATACTGTCCATTATGCATTAAACGCGCATGTGTAAACTCATTATATGTTTACGCATACGCATAAAGTTTGTAGCTTTGAGGTCTGGATTATAGATCATTCCGGATTATGGACGGCCGGATTACAGACTTTTGGAAATGGAAATTTTTAATGAAAAATTAAATATAAATAAATGATACTGTATTATCATTTATTTATATTTAATTTTTCATTAAAAATTTCCATTATTTTTTATTAAGGAGATATATTATAAAAGCAATTATTTTTACTAGGTTTTAATTTTTGTGAGAAAATATAAATATAAGTCTGCTTAAGCAACCGAAGATTCAGGAGTAACTTCGGTTGCTTCAGGAGTAAATTGATGCTTTCCCGAAACTGCACCCCGAGATCCACTTTCACATTTCTTTAGAATTCATGGTTAATCTTCAGATTATGGTAAATTGGCGATTTTGGGGCGAAAATTTGGCGACCAACCCTGCTACAGCAACCTGCTAGTTTTTTTTTTTTTTTTTTTTTGGACGCCATTTTGTTTTAACGAAGTAAAGGCTTTTTTTTTTTTACTCAAAATTTTTTTCCAACAATCTGCTAGCCAAATTACGCTTATGCTAGAACTTTTATGGAACAAAAGTGCTTAATCATGACGAAGATTATGTGCGAAATTGAGAGAAAGTGCAGAATCGCCCACTGCTTGCCGCGTTTTTAATTGCACATACACAGTATCCATGTACACGTCGACCTATTTTCACTTAAAAAAACACCCCAGAATTGCACAAAAATGGCATTGCGCACACTCTTGACTTTATCCATGTACACTGCTAAAGTCCTAGCTAGTAACCTTTATCGCCTTACCAAAATGTCGCCAAACTACCTGTTACCATATTCCAAAGATTAGCCGAATTCACTACCATCACTGTTAAATGTATCATGTATGGCATTTGGATATATATCTAAAAAATTTTAGGATATAAATAAGATAGGGGAAAAAAAAAGAAGCAAGAGCTGAAAAACATACCTGATAATTACCATATTTGACGGCATATAAGACATACTTTTTTTCCCCCCTAAATTTGGTCTAAAAAAAGTTACCTGCGGCTTATACGTGAAGGACACAGGTTAACTTTCAATACTGAATGCTATTTTTAGCCCAGATAAAGATCTAGATACACATAACTTTTTCTACATCTACATGTGTGTGGCCTTCTAAATAAGGTTGCGTCTTCTATGCCGTCAAATACGGTAAATATTTCGCATCAAGGAACGTGAATCATGTGTCCGAAAGAGAGAGAGAAACAAATCTTTGATAGTTCGTTAATCACAGCTAGAAACTTAATTGCACATTTTAACTCTGGTTCTGCTAAAATTATCCATAAAGCTTCTTCAGTTGGTGAAATGGATTTCCTTGATGCTTTTCATATTTACAAAAATTTATTTTCTTTAATTTAATGACATTAATTCCAATTAAATGTTCCTTAACCCTTTCAATTTTAATAGCTTTGTTTTTTTACATTTTATTTTCATTTTCCTCAACAGATGGCTCTATATTTATTTTCACTTTGCTCTGTTCATTGGCTTTGATGTTACATATTTGTTCTAAAATTAGCTGCAAAATTTTTTTTTGCTCTCGGAGAAACTCATTCTGCTAAATCAACAGAATTTTATTCAAAATCTGCATGAAACTTAGGTTGATGTTTTGCCCAATTTTAAATTTTACACTGGTGTGTTTCTTTTCCAATTTGATTTATTTATTATCTTGTTTTCCTACGTATTCCCGACTTCTTAATTAAGATCTGTTTATATAAGAATAAAATTAAGCCTACAATATTGAAAGGTACCGTCACCCATCAACACTTGACCAATAATTTACTACTGCCTTTAGACAATGGAGTATATATTAACATTACAGATCAACGAAACACTTAATACCATTATTATTTTTGGTGTATACAGTTCCGCCATTTCATTCAAATTCACATCATCTATGGCCTGTTTTTGCCTTCATAATTAAT